CCCAAACTGCCTGGATGGTCAAGAGACCTCTGCCTGCGTGTCTCCAACTCATAGATTATAAGACAATCTCCAACAGGGAGTATTTGAAAAGACCACTTGATGTTAACATAGTAAAAAGGCTCAAAGGGCAGGGCCATCCTTAAGAAGAAACCAGAAGATGGCATGTTATGAGCATTAAAAAAAGGCAGAGCACAGTTCTGTCTTTACTAAGGACCAAGCAAGAGAGACTGGGACTGGCCAATCTGAATCCAGCAGAAAAGATCCAAGAGTGGACCCCAGGCACAATCACACCAAAGACCGTCGTGGACAACTCACACTCACATCCCAAAAGATCACCCGTAAGTCAGTTTGGGTTGTGTGGAGGAAAAAATGAAAAGAAAAAGAAAAAATCCTGGCTCTGGAGCTCTAAAGGGGATAGTCAGGAATCTAGATTGGAACACCAAATGCCCATTTCATCTCCACAAAGCTGGAGTCCCTAAATCTCCCCTCAGTCTGAGCCTCTCATTTAACACATATTTATTTGGCACTTATTGTTTATCAGGCTCTATTCTAGACACGGAGTAAGATCCCTGTCATCATGGGGTTTGCATTCTAGGGAGCCTGGCAATTCACCTGGCCCAGCCTTCCCATTTCCTGTGGAGAAAGACAGAAGCTCGTCTTTTCCCTCTGTCTAAGTGCCTTCCGGCCATCACCTGCACAATTGCCAGGGCAACCTTCTTAATGGTAAACTTGACCAAATCCCTTCAGTGGTCCCCTGCCTAAAATGGAGAGTCCAAGCTTCCTAGGTTCCGGTGTGCCTCCATAACCCCCTCTGCATAGCCTTCCAGATTCAAGTCATGTGATATACACACAGTGCTGGTCAGCGCACTGCTCTGCTGTTGCCTGTTTGCTCTGCATGCATGCCCCGCATCTCGCCCTTCACCATCAAACACCACCTTGCCCTTGGAAACTGCCTCAGAGCAGCTCCTCCAGATGCCCTCAGGCTCAGCCAAGCCCCTCTGCTGGCCCCCAGAGCACCCTCATCTTCTTTCAGTGCCAGCACCTACAATGCTGATATGCCACTGCCTGCTCATCTGCTCTTTCTCCCTCAAGACTGAACTCCATTTCTCCTGAAACAGTGTTTTATATGTTCTATAGTCCCAGCACAGTGTCTGGAACATATTAGGTGCTCAATGAAAGTTTACTGTCCTGAACCAATCATACCATAAAACCTAACCACCCTTTAGTACACTGTTTCCATGGAAAAACTGTGCTCCAAGTTCTGCCTGGCCTGTCAGAGACACAGCCTGCCCATTCAAAGTTCCAATGACAAAAATATTGGTCCATTTGGCATAGTCTATCCTGTGCTGTGCCTCCCATCAAACCATAGTGGTGGTGTCACAGAGTCAGTGTGTGGCCACCAATAGATCAAAGCTGGAGAATCTAGTTGGGTTTACCCCTGCAGCCTCACTCATGAGAGAATGAGAATCCCAAGGGACTCCAAGATGGGTTTTGCCAGATGCTGGCTCATGGCCCTGGGATATTATCACTGAGGTTGACCATAAAGGATATGGGGTACATCACTGTGGGCATGCTCTGCAGAAACTTAAATATTCAAATCTCTTTTCCACACAGAAAAGAAATTCACGTAAAAAGTACTTTTTAATAAGAAGTAATAAGCCAGCATTACTGGCCACTGCTAAAACATATCCAATACCAGCACTTCCTATAAGTTGAGAGTCATATCAATCATGAATGCATGGCCACAGCATTAAATATGCTGTCCCACAGGGTTAGAAAGTTGTGCCCTCTGCAACTCTTCTCTGGTTCTTCTGATTACGTCAAGAAGAAAGCTCCACTGGGGACTTGTGTGTCATTAGCACCTCTCTACCACTTACCAATTTTACTTTTTAAGGAATTAAGAGTAGGCTTCACACTCAGAGTCAAAAGCTAGATTTCAATACCATTAATTTAAATATCCTCATGTTTACAGTCACCTGCTATCTGTGAAAAGTGAGAATGGTTTTCCCTGGCAGTGGTGAGATCAAGTTTCCTTTCTGAAATACATGTATTCAAGGTTTTAAGTGAACGTAAGGACAAATACCAGGTATGTGCTAGCACTGGTGGTACTGGGGATAAGGGGAGAATCACGGCCGTGACACTCAGATGGCAGAAGCTGGGGGACAGAAGCACGTCCTCGCTTAACATGGCAAATTTTCAGGGAGTGCAATGACTCAGACACTTCATCTGAATATCTGGAAGTTCAGCTGTCTCATGACTTATCCCAGATTTCTTTCCAGCTCCGTTCTGTCACTGGATATGGAATCTCCACTTTGGAAAATCAGGAAAGCTCAGAAGCACATAACTCCTTTGTAGTGGGGGGAAGGGGGCAAGGGGAGCCAATAAATCTTATAAAATGGAAACAAAGCACTGGCCCAAGCCACAGTGGCCCGAAGGGACAGAAGGTCAAGTTCCGAAGGTAATTTTCCATTTGTATAGAGGCACCCTTCAGGGGATACAAAGTCAAACCAACTCCAAACATAGAGAAAATGTCTTCAGGGAAGTGGAAGCAGCTTGTGGGAAGTATAGGAAAAGAAGGGAGAAACGTCAGAGGGGAAGCCAGAAGGAAGAAACATCAGAAGTCAGAAGGAAGCTATGTTGCTTAATTTGGAGGGACATGGGCCAGTCTGTCAACCTGGGGACAGCAAGCTGGAGAAAAAACGGTGGGAAGGCATGGTCCCAGAGCACCTGCTGGCACCTAAATCTGACCAGATCTGGGGTCAGCAAGCTGGTCCAGAATTGTGGGGTCAGGGGTCCAGCTCAACAAGCCTAGTTAGATTCTGGGACTCTGTGGGTCCGTGCCTGGTCCTGTCTCCCAGCTGCTCTCCCAAGCTCTGGGACAGATTAGAGGTCATGCCCACACATTTTCAGAGCTCTTAGAAGCAATTTGCCTGGAGTGGACACTGGACGTCCTCTTATGACACATCTCCTCAGAGACCAGTCTGGAATTTATTCATTGGAAGGGTATGGAAACAATACTCTAGTTGCATGGGGGATGCCATGACAGTTTACAGTAGAGTAGGAAATCACTATCCATTTCAAAAATGGAGGCAGAGCTTTGGTGGGGCCCTTTTATGGATGACATCAGAGCAAATGCAAAGTACCCAAACCCCAAGCCTTGAGGCCCCAGGATGGGAAGGGCCTCCTGTGAATAAAGCACCTTCTATACCATGTTCTCCAATGTTTCTCAGCCCATCAGCATCAATATCTGCTACTGAAAAGTGATCCCTTCATACTGAGGAACAGGACCCTTAACAGCTAATGAGTCTGCACGGTTAGCAGCAAGACCACAGCCTTCAAAAAACAGCAGGCTGAACACACAGCATCTTCTCCTCTTCCTTTAGGTAGAGGAGAGCAGAAACCCAGACGCACAGAGAGAATGGAGTAGAGAAAAGACTTCATTAAGCTCCTTGATAAAAGTCCATGGACAAATGCTTCCTGTTGAAGCAGAATGGAAAAAAGTCATATAGGCAAGAACAAACGGAGCTACAGTTAAGAAACAATCTAGAAAACAATCTACTATCGGATTCTTAAACGTGGACCACTAGATCTCTGAGGATCCCTACAGCAAGAAAGACAAACAGGAAAAAATGGTCAATTCAAAAATTCTTTCCTCAGCCCTTCATGACTTCCCCCCAAACTGCACGTAAAAATTCTCTAATCGGTACCCTCGGAAACCAGACATTGGATCCAAGCAGCAAGAACAAGACACCATGTAAAAAACAGACCAATCACAGAGGAAAGTGACCTTATAAAGCTTAAAAAATGATTGCCAAAATTTATGTATCTTTCAAACAATGGTTGTAGGATGAAGCCAAGGAATCTCCCTTCACAGAACAGGAAATAAGAAAAAGAGGTAAGAGTCATGGAGGCTCCTTCCAGGCATCCAGCGGCAAGTTTACTTTCTATGCACCTTTCCTTAGAAGTTATTTGAGGCTGCTTTGCAGCCAAACAAGGGTATCAGTCATAAGAGAGAAAGACAAGAAGCCAGGACACAGGGAGTGAATTAACCCATGAGATTAAAGCTGATAAGTCTCTGAGGGTTGCTGCACAGCAGACCTGGAGAAAACCAGCCTGGACAGGAGCATGAGAGTGAAGGACCCCAGGAAGGAAGTCTCTGAAAAATGAGAGGGTACAAGCTTGGATACATACTGCGATGGAGTGTTTGAAAATACTTGGGGAAACTTATTATGGTGGCACCCTGGGAATATAGTAGTGGCATATATTACAAAAAAAAGAAAAAAAAGAAAGAATGAAAGGCAATCCAAAACTCCAGGAGAAAAAACGGAATAATGGACAAGAAAGGCACCGTCCAAACATGTAACAGACCAAATGAAGTATTTTTGGTCTGTTTTTTGAGTAACAGGTAGTATATGAAAAAAAATGCTAGAAATATTTAATTTTAAATGGCTCATGGGATGCCTGGGTGGCTGCATCAGTTAAGCATCCAACACTTGATTATCAGCTCAGGTTGTGATCTCGAGATCCTGAGATAAAGCCCCTCACTGGGCTCCACGCTGAGCATGGAGCCTGCTTGGGATTTTCTCTTCCTCTCTCTCTGCCTCTCTCCCTCTCTCAAAATAAATAAGCATTAAATTAATTAATAAATTAGTTAATTAATTAATTAAATGTGAGGCTTCAGGAGTGAGAGCATTAGAAACTTGGACAACAAAGTCAGTCACAGCATGCTGCCTGGCCTCGCAGTGAACCACACTTTCAGATTATGATGTCATTAATGCCATGTAATGGGCTTTTGGCTTTTAGAATCAACCCATGGTCAGATTATGGAATGTTCTGCTGTGATTAAAGAACTGAATACAAACATGGACCTTCACAATGCAAAAGTGAAGACACAGCTGATGAGACTTGGGATGAGCTGCTGAGAAGGATGCAAGGTGCCAGTGTCTTCACAAAAAAAAAAAAAAAAAAAATGCAGAATCAAGCAGACTGAACAAGAAATAGAGATTTGGGTATCAGGAGGAGTTGGATGGGGAGAAAAGGAAGGATAAAAGGGTTCAGGCTCCAATCTATTATTTCAGGAATGCCGACAGTATATTCAAAAGTCCACTGAATTTCATAAATCAAGAGACATGACTATACAACTGTTACATACAGACATGGGCATAGTTACCAGAAGAATAAAATATAAATACAATACAAATAGTTACTTCTGAGAAGTAAGGCTGAGAACAGGAAGAAGTGGAACACAGGTATGTTAACTTTTCGTTTTTAAAAACTTCATAGTTATTTTCCAAATGTGCATTTATGCTGGTAAAAATCAAAGATTTTAATTAAAAATATTTTTAGAAAAAGAATCAAAAGAACTTTTTTCTTTGGCATTAGTGAAAAATTTAGCAAAATATGAAGGTCTATATATTTGAAATAGTAATAGTATTATATCAATGCTAATTCCTTGATTTTGATCCTTAAGGAAGAATTTCTTCACTTTTAGGAAACAAACACGGATTTAGGAATGAACAGGCATTATACATGCAACTTTCTTTCAAACACTTCAGAAAATAACAACTCTGTATGTGTATGTGAGCATATATGTGCAGGGAAAGGAAGAAGTAAAGCATTCACCTCTGAGGAACCTGGGTGAAGGGGTGTATTAGTTTGCTAGAGTTGCTATAAGAAAGCACTGCAAACCGGGTGGCTTTAACAGAAATGTATCTTTTCACAGCTCTGGAGGCTGGAAGTCCAAGGTCAAAGCGTCAGCAGGGGAGTTCCTTCCAGGGCTGTGTGGAAGGCTCTGTTCCAGGCCTCTCCTCCCACTGCTGGTGGTTTGCTGGCCATCTCAGGCCTCCCTCAGCTTGTTGGAACATCTCTGCCTTCATGTTCTCACGGCCTTCTCCCTGTGCATGTGAATTGTCCAAACTGCCCCTTTTCATATGGACGCCAGTCATATTGGATTAGAGGCCCACCCTCTTCCAGGATGGCCTCATCTTAATTTAACTAATAAATCTGCAACAACCCTATTTCCAAATAAGGTCACATTCTGAGAGGTACAGGGGTGAGATTAAGTGCTTCAATATATCTTTTATGGGTTGGAGGGGATATAATTCAACCTGTAACAAGGACACCATGGAGTTCTTTGTACTATACTTAAAACTTTTCTGTAGGTCTGAAATTACTTCAAAATTGAGAGGTTTTTGTTTTTTTAAGGTAAATAGAAAGGCGCTCTAAGAAGGACTGAAGGGGAGGGTGTGCAGGGGAGGAGAGCAAATTCAGGGAGCCCTCTCACAGCCGTGGGGTTCTAAAAGCCCACAAGGGAGGCAGCTGCTGAGAGGAATCTGGGGACAGAGTGACAAAGTCCCTATGCCCCCAGTACAAAGATAACCTCCTACCCCCACCCCCATGGTGATGGACTCAGGTCCTTGAAGAGAAGCCTCACCCAAGATTTGCGTTAAGAACACAATTATTTTTCCCTTTGAAACAAGCATATAGCAGGGCGTATTTGCCCAGCATCTCAGTAGACGCTAGCAGTGGTTAATTAGAAGAATGTTGCTACACAAAGACACTAAATAATTGTGTGTTTCACAGAATTTTATTCCTTAACTAGTATCTCTTAAAAATAGCACACTCCATATGAGAGTTTTCCGCTTATTCAAATCACGTCTGAGAAACACACATTTGTACAGCAATACTTCATCAACGGGGAGGAAGATGGGGGGGGTGGGTGTGTCCCAGAGTACGAGCTGGGTGATAGACAACCCCAACCTGCCGGCCTCAGGCAGCTCATGTTTGCGCCACTCAGACCTCCTCTTCTAATGCCTCCAGAGAAGGGACCCAGTGACCCCCATGCATGGCCCATCCCAATCTCTATCACCCTGACAGTTCCACTCTCCTGAAGTACAGAAAATAGTGGGGTGGCATCTTCCTAACTAGAAATGTCCGTACTTAAAAAGTATCATCAAGCCAATCCAGCTGTCCATCCGTGCACTGGTTCAGTGTACACATGTACCAGGACTCTGCTGACCAGCATCCAGAGTACTACCAGACCCTTTCCACGACCCTCAGCCTCCTTCCGGCTTGGGACAGTCTCACAGAGTAGTCTCCAGCCTTAAACACCTTGCTGGGCCCCTAGAAAGCCACAGAGATCGGAAAAGGCACCAAACAGGATCTCCACTTCTGGCTGTGCTGCTAATCGGCTGCATGACCTGGGGAGTTAATTCAAACTCTCAGGAACTCAGATTCCTAATCTGTAAAATAATTAGGTTGAGTCAGATGTTGGGAATTTTCATGTATACATAATTTTCATGTATAATGGCCCAACTGGGGACTAGTCTCTAAAAAGATTCTAACTGACCAGGAGGAACAGAATAAGAGGACAACCTTCAGCCTGAAATGCCCTATTTGTTTCAATCCCACTTGGCGAGCTGGGAGGTCCATGCTAGACTTCTCATTACGGCACTACATTCAGAGTCATATTCTTCGCTGGCCTATTAAGACCCCATGACCTTTTTTGCTCCTACTCATACAGAGTTGCTTTTACTTCCATCTTTTAGGCAGTGATTTTCACCAACCATTCACCAAAAGCCCAAACAGCTCCAAGATATGAATTTTGCACATTTATTCCAACTCGAACATAATCTCTTTTCTTGAAAGCTGTCCAAGGTGCCAAGCAGATGTCTTTCCTCAATGGAGTACCAAATAAGGGAAAATGGGAACTCAGATCACGGGTCCTCAAGAGAGGCGAAGCCTCCGAGCCAGCAGGCCAGGAAGGCTTCCTGGGAGTCCAAGGAGGCATGACATAGGCCAAAGGGTGTGGGGGACTCAAAGGAGTACCAAATAAGGGAAGAGTAAAAAACAGGGGCAGGGAAAAAAAAAACACATAAGCAAAGAGATGGGGCAGCGAATGCCCATCTGAGGGGCATCCCAGCCAGAACATGAGGACTCAGGGTGGGGTGCCAAAGGAGGACTATTATCCTACTTTTCATAACCACCTCTGTACTCTATAGTTTCACCCACCCATCGACCACCCCCAGCTCTCTAGGAGAAGGAGTAATGGGGGCCAATCATAGAATTCCAGACCCTTGGCATGGTGACTCGTTCAAGGATGAGCCTGTGACCTAGGTTGGGATCAAACGAATGACCCCAAGGAATATGCAGGAACCAAGAAGTGAGTCTCACTGTTTCTGTTGTGGTCAGAACAACAGACCTGCTACCCATTATGGGAAAGCCTGAGGCTAACCCAAAGGAAGCGGGGCAGAGGGACGGAAACTGAGTCTTGAAAGCATATGGACTCCAGCCATGCCTGAACCCAGCATCACCACTGATCTTTCAATTACATGGGCCACTAAGGTTAAGTGTATATGTATTCATATGCATTGACTTGCTTACTCAGAACCAAAAGAATTGTAATGGGCATAGCCCTAAGCTCAGGTTAGAGAGAAGAGAAAGTGCTAGACTGGTGTGTCAAATAAACCTGGCCTCAGATCCTGGCACTATCACAGGATAGCTGTGTGTGTCTGAATAAGTCACTTAGGTTCCACAAGCCCCAGTTTCCTCATCTACAAAATGGACAGAATAATTCATGAGCTGATGTACATGAAAATGCAGGCTCTGTGAATATCAGTAGAATCTGTGGCACTTGTACTTGATGATGTGGGAGACACTGAAGCACTCTGGGCAGAGAATTCACTCTAAGGAAAATGTGCATTATGTTCATTAGCCTGGGCGCAGTACAGGCTGGATAGAGGGAATGATGCCCACCCAGGGAGCCCACTGCATGCTGCACTCCAGGTGGAGAACACGCACCATACCCCATGGGTGCAGTGTCAGATGTTGAGAGAGCTGAGGCCTCTTTCTCACTGTGGACTGCACCTGCCAGGGGCTGCTGAAAAAGAAGTCCCCTGCACCTCCACCGTCTTTCCCCCAGTAAAATAGATAAACGACCCCTACCTTCTTTCTCCAGGATTGGGTACAGAATTAACTATGAGCTCTACAAACTACTTTGTACTCCCCGTGGAAAAGCTGCTATGTAGCTATAAGGGGTGATTAATTTTATGTCTCTAAATGTCTCAGTATCATTTGCCAAAATGATGATTTATTATTTAGACAACCTTTATATTTCCAAGGGGCTTTAAAACCATTTATAGTGGAGAATGAAATAAAACTGATTAGGGCCCTGAAAAACAGGCGTGGTGAAGAAATGCACAAGGAGCCAGGGGTTATTTATCCAGAACCTGAGAAGGCAGATGAAGGACACAGCAAGAATCGTCAATTACATGCAAAGCAGTATTCCTGAGGAGAGGCCCGTATCCTGCCCTTACGTGATCAGGGGAAAAGAAATGAGGGGAAAAAAATGGCAAAGCATCCAGACTGATTTTGGCTAGACATCAAGACGATAAAAGGAAGAACTTCCTAAATGTATACTGCTTCTAAGCTAGGCATCTAAAAACATTTTCCAGTACCATTTACATTCTAATACTATATGGAAGAAAATACAATATAGAAAGACAATGCAGATATGGTCAAAGAATTACCATATTCTTCAAGCAATGCCAGGGGATGAAAAACACGGTAGCAAACTGGGAGGCGAGTGTTTTATTTCTTTAAGGAAGAAAAAGTGAACACTACGTGCCCTAAAGCCAAGCCATGGTGAAAGATGGAGACTGGGGTATATTTGTATACAGAGGAAACATGGAGATGGCCTGGAGATGGATTGGTTTGAGTAAGTACCACCAAATCTATATCCCTTCCTTCTTAACTCTTCCTAGGCCACTAGATGATGGTGTATCTGGATCTTGCTAAAGTACTTCATGAAATGGCGGATCAGATGGAGAGCTCTGGGCAGAGACAAATACAAATTGGTGGATTCACAGCTGTCAGAACAGTAGCCAAAGAGGGCCCAATGGAAAGCAGCATCTCCTGTGAGATTTCACAGGCTCTGTTCTCCTTAGCATTCTCATCAACCACTTGGATGAAACCCTGCAAGGGACACTCATCTGATCTCAATTGCTGGGATGCTCAGCCAAAACCAATCAGATGAAATGAACAGTCCTGCATGCTTAGGTTCAAAACCATCCCATCAGAGATAGAATAGATCTGGCTTGAATGGCACTGACGTTGCCAAACTGCAGACCAACCGCCAAGCTTGTGGAGTTGATTGACAGTGTGCCCTCCTTGCAGCAGGATTCACCAACAGGCAGGCCACTGATCATTTCCTTTGGTTTTGAAGGTATAACACCTTGAACCCTTGGGCCCATCTAGAGGAACAATCACATGCCACTGTGGTCACTGACCTAGCACCTGCCTGGGCTTTGTTTCATAGGACAACTTCAAGTGATAGCCTGTGCTCCTATTATCTACTGTAACAAATCACCCTGAAAATTCAGTGGCTTGGGACAATAATGTTTTATCATGCCTCATAGTTCTGCAGGCTAATTGAGCTCCACTGGGTAGTTCTCACCTGGTCTTGCTCAGAACGTTAGAGTCAATGTTGGTAGAAGGTACAGTCATGAAAGTTCTTCCCAGTTTGATACTCAAATGACCCACTCACATGGCCAGCAGTTGGTGCTGGCTGGCATTTGGGAACTCACCTGGGGCTGTCAACCCTCCATGTGGCTTGGGCAGATTACAACATAGCAACTGGGTTCCCAGAGTGAGTATTCTAAGAGCAAGTTCCCAGAGATCCAGGTGGGAGCTGTGAAGCTGCACGTGACCTAGCTCCTGAAGTCCCAGAGCATCACTTGTGCCATATTTTATTGTTTGAGTGAGTCACCAAGGCCAGGCCAGATTCAAGGGGAGGGTCATAAGCCTCTACGCTAGAACAGTTCCATTGCTGAAGCGCACGTGAGACAGAAGATCCTGCTGTTACCGTCTTCCAACAACATAACGGGCCACAGGTTGAAAACATGAAGCACCACAATGAAAAGGATTGCAGCTGGCAAAGGTACACAGTGCTGCTGCGTGTCGGACCCTGCAAACCCCAGACCTAGACCCCTTAAGTCCAATGTGCACCAACTGGCACTCTGCCCTAGCATGTTCGCCATCTGGTCTCCACCTTCCAGTCTCCTTCCAGAAATCCACTTGCCTCCCGGCACTTGACCCCCAACTGGTCCTGTCTCATTGCCATCTCCACCCTGACATGCCATGTCAACAGGAATTAACAGCTTCACCATGCCGGACACAAAAAGAACCAACCACCAGTTAGTCAATTGCAAGAGCCCAGTATTACAAAACAAGAACAACAACAAAAAGTATGGTTCTTTTTGCAAATATTCAAAGAAAACATTCAGGGAAATCCTATTTGCTTTGGATTACTGTGTGAGTTTGCAAGCTGAAACATTCAACGGTTCATAAAGCTCATGTATTTGTTCCAAGTGTCAGTGTGTCTGCCTTTTAAAAAGCAGCAGCAGATTCCGGGGGAAGGGTGGACGGAAGGCCTTCAGCATCTGTACTAATAGATCATGTCTTACATCCTCTGCACCGTGGCTCCCACTCCCCTGCCTGTTGTCTCTCTGCTACTGCAGGCATCTGTCTGTGACATCATAGCCCATTGCCATGGAAACTGATGCTATCACCAACTTCTAACTTCAGGCAATAAAATGTCTTTGTATTTACAATTTCCTGAGAGGACAGCAGTGTGGATCTTCACATGTATGATGCTCAGTGGGACACCTGGCAGTTTCCTGAGTATTCGCTAGGTTCTATGTCACTGATTACCTCATGGAAATAGTAGAAAGAACCTGCCTTGGTTTTGGCCAAGCGGGGTCTTAGTTTCCTTGTCTGTGAAGTGGAAATAAGAATGCTTAGCCTTCTGGGTTACTGCGAGGTGTCCATCAAGAGTTAGGTGTTGCAGAGTCTGAGGCAAGGCAGGTGCCCAGCAGGCAAGCCTTCTCTTCTCCCAGTCTGCCAGAGCTGACTTAGTGTATGTGGCCCGTTTCAGCAAGAGCCCTGGCAGGTGCTGCGGGGCTGCAATGACAGCTAAAAATCCCCTCCAGAGAGAGCCATGATGATATCAATTCTGCTGCCAGGTGAGTCATCTACACCAGTTCACACCTTCTCCTGAGAGATGTAATGGCTTTTAGGCAAAAGCAATGACCTGAGAGGCCACAGGCCCAGCGGCAAGTCTTTCAACCCAGGGCCATAGCCTTTCAACCCAGTGTCTGGAAGCCTGGAGTGTGAAGGGAAGCAGGAAACCACGTGGTCCCAGTGGTGTGAGAGGTAGACCTGTCCACCCACTGAGGGCACTTCTGTTTCCCTCTTGACCAGATCTGAGGCAAGGGTTCAAGTCCTGCCGAGAAATCAGCCCAAGATGATCGTTGAGTGGATCATCTGGGCTCTTCTATGCCAAGTCAAAGCTACAATCTGCTACTCCAATTCCCATGAACCATCCCAGCACTTCTGAGAAGGACACAAATCTGTTCCAAGGTGACTGAAGAAAAAAAATTTTTAACAGCAAAAAAGTATGCTATTTAAAAACAGAAGGGTCCCTGATGTAATTTAGATCTGTCATCTTGGCAAAATGAGGCAAAATAAAAAAGGAATGTGCTTTGGTGCTGGATGGCTCATCAGAATCAGGCAGGGAGAGGCTGAAGCGGTCCTGCTCACAAATGCTATGGAATAATATCCTAAAACTTTAAATAAGAATCATGGGCATTCCTAAAGGGTCAGGGCAAGGTCCTGATTTTAGGGGGTAAATCCTTTCACAATGGGAATGAGAAAGAAATAATACACGTTGGTTGGTGCCCCTTCCATCCTGCACACACCATCAGCCTATAACAGCTCAGCTCACCTGGAGCCGAGGTCTGAGTGAAAGGTGGCCAATGTCAGAGCTGAGAGGTGCCAAGGGCTCAGGAGTCTAGGCTACAGGGTGTCTGTGGAGCATGCCCCTGCCTGGGGGACAGCCCTGGAACCTCCAGTGCGGTGACATGGGGACCAGGATACCAGGTTCCAGGCAAGAGGCCAGTCAGAGGGAAAGGGGATGTCTCTGGTAGCTGACGCACCCCTTTACACCCAAGATACAGTCCCCAATTCCAGAGGTGGGGCAGGGAGACCTCCCAGCTCCTACACTAGTTCCCAGACGGCACAAGGCCTTTAGTGACACCTCTTTCTCTCCTGCCCCATTTTAACACCATCTTACTTTCCATGTAACCGATGTTCTGGATACACTGTCTGGGAGGGGCCCCTCTGCTCTTAGGGGACCCCAATTCTGACCCGCCCCCCAACCTCTGTGCCCTACACAACTGCCCCAAACACAGAGAGAACGGGGAGACCCAGAAGGCTTGGACCTCAGGGGCACGACAAAGAGCACAAGCTGCCCAGTCTCCCAGCTTCACGGTCTCCACCTGGAGCCTCTTCCTGCTCAGAGAAACCTGTTTGTGTTTGCGCTGGAACTTTTCACAGCAGAGCCCTCAGAGCAAGAGAGACAGGCTCCCTCCAGAACGACCACAGAGCCAGGCTGTTCCGCCTCTTCACCTATGGTTTGGGAATAGCTGTTTTCTTCTGAATTTTTTCTTCTTGCATTATTACAATCTAGCCTAAGAGTATTCTAGTTTTCTGGATTTCACTTTTTTTTTTCTTGTCCATCTGGGATTACACTTTTATTCACATCATGATTTTTATCCCTATCTTTTAACTTTACTTGAGCCATTTTCATGTTTCACAAATCCTTTTAAGTACATTCCCTGGGTTTTTTTTACCGCTTTATTACCATTTTTTTAAATTTCTCTAGATTCTTAATTCTAACACTTTTTTTCTTAATTTTTAAACTCCATTCTCCTTTTCAAAGCATGTCAAATGTTTGTTCCCTTTACCCAGCAGTGGAACAGCAGGTGCAAATGTTGGGAGGCAGGAGGAAGCTCACGGGGAGTGCTAGGAAGAGAGGAGGCAGCCAGCATAGGGAGTGTACTGCAGGCAGCCCAGGCAAACAGAAGTAAATAAAAAACAACATCAAGAACTTGCTGTTGAAGAAGCGCTTCAGCCCTAATTATTCTAGTCACTTGTCTCTATGTGGAACAACATGGATGATTTTTTGCCTGTGGTCAGAGAGCCCACCCTCCAAGATCCAAAAATTTACTCTCCAGTATCTTTTCCACCACTTGGTAAAGGCAGGACCAGTCTGGTCCAAGAACACAGGAATGTAGGGAGAGAAGAAGGGAGGGATTTTCTGAGCCCTTCTGGTGGACATCCCCTCCCCCGGGGTGGGGGACAGGGAGGCACTTGCCCCTGTCCCTGGCCTGCAGAGAGGCTGTGGTGGTGCTGCAGGGACTATGCCAACTGCTCTCTAAACAAGCACTTTCTTCCCAGATGGACGTTCACCCCATTTCTCAGCTGGTGTACGGGTGGAGCCACTGGAGAGGGGAAGGGATGCATCACCTCCAGGCTGAGGGAGGGAAGAGCGGGTGTGCCTTCTCCTTCATCAGCGCGGGTCCCTGAATGGTGGGACGAGAAAGAGCTCCCGCTGGGCCCCTGGGCCTATGATACAAGAAAGAAATAAACTTTATCTTGTTGGATAACAGATTCAGAGTCAGTTGTTCTAGCAACTAGCTGACACCGGTCAGATTAGAAACTGGCCCCAGGGATGTCCACCTGTCCTCTGAGTGGGGCCCATCCCAGCAAGGCACAGAGCAGGAGGCAGGAGTGGCAAGACCAGGGTAGGGAAGAGGGCAACAGCACTCCCGGCTGCCTGTCACAGGCAAGCACTCCAGGAGGGCAGAGGTGAGGGAGGCAGGGCTGCAGGAAGATGAGTTACAAGCCAGTCACCTTGCCCAAAGGAGAAGCTGTAAGGGTAGTGTCTATGCAGCCTGCAGGAGGCAGGGTATGGGTGCAAGGTAGAGATGCAGCTTCTCCAAGCAGAAGTTTCTATGTCTCCAATGGAAAGAAGAGACACAGGGAAGAAAGCATTTATTGAGTGCCTGCTGCACACCCAGCACTGCACTGGGCACTTCTCTCACTTACACTGAGACCCCTATAAGGACGTATTACTCATTGCATTTTGCAGAGGCCAAGATGACTGCTCAAGGCCCGTACCTCAAGAACGACCAAGTGAAGATGGGCACCTGGTCTCTAAGACACCCCCCCCCCAAGGAGCACCATTCTACATCCATCATGGTGTTGGAGGAGGTCACTGAGAGGACATGACCACTGGCTAACCCACGAGTTAGACTAGGCGATGGAAGGTCCTAGTCCCTCCTTCCCTGTCCTTGAAATGTACACTCTGCCCATGTCCCCACAGTGGGAGCCACTTTCAAGGACACAGTCTTGAGAGAGCAATGTGTTGTTGAGACTATCTGGATGGTAGACAACAACGAAACCCTGTCAAGGACACTAGATAAACTTGTAAGAGTCTCATAGAGATCTATGTATCTACAGTACCCAAGACAAGCCTCATACACAGGTTCCCTTATTAAACCTACCACCTAACCTGCCTGGAGTGATCTGTCTCTTTCTTGGGTCTCTCCTTGCCCTCCAAATGGGGCCATTTGTGAACCATCACTTGGGTAATGGGGAGTCACCAGTGGGGCACACATCCTACCTACCCCTGTCCACCTGTGCAAGGCAGAAATGCACAAACAGGAGGCTCCCAGCCTTCAGGCACAGAGAGAACAGACACACGCCAAATGGAAAACCCCAATCTATAATGGAAATGTAAGACAGACATGTGACATGTATATTGATGCCTACTCCACTCCCATTTCTCTGTATTCAGTGAGGAATTCACCTCTGCATACAGCAAAACACCCACCTGGCAAAGCATTCTCCTGTCTGGTACTCCATGGATAGATCATCTCTACCCTGCTCAGAGGGCCACTTCTACTCAGAAGCTGACCATTAGGCATCTCACGGTAATCTGAAGATTGCATCTTCCCCCACTTCCCACCTCCACCCCATTTGCAGCCAGGATGACTGTTTTCCTTCTGCCCCTCAGCCTCCAATCAGTTCCCTGCTCAACCTAAAACACATTCCTGCAGAAGGGCTGTCCTGAGATCATCTTGGGAGGAAGGTGGTCTAGCTATGGATGAGGAGAAGCCTTCTGGAAAAGATCCAGGCATCCCAGCTAACAGTACCAACTCCAGACTTAATGAGAAACTTTATCGCCTGTACCACCAGTGGACTGCTTATAGACATTTCAGTTCTCATCTGACTACAGCCTCATGAATGATCCAGGTCTCTTCATCAGAAGGACTCCATCTGAGGAGCCTCATCCGCTCCTGAACAGAGACCGTATTTAGATGAAAATATCCTATATTAAAAACCTGAGTTTGATGCCAGAGTGGAATGAAATGTTGGGGTCCTGGGTGAGGATGTGCACACTTAGCATGTGGAAGTGATATGAATTGTGGGCCAAAACCCCCATTAGTTCCTTCCTCCTCCTATGTACATACCACTCCTCATATCAAGAAGAGGAGTGTAATTCTCTTTTCCTTGGGGGGAAAAAGGTGACTATAGCACTGTCCCCAGCAGCCTCTCCACATAGCTCTCAGAAGAGTCAGGGGAGTCGGCAGCCCCTCAATTCTTAGGCGAGCCAAGAATGGGGCAGGAGGGGGCACTGGGGAGCCACCTGTTTGAGAAGTGGGTGGGTGGGGAGCACAGGCATGAGAACTTGAGAGCTGTCAGCCCCTCCACCTGTCACTGAACCTTCCTGCTCCAGGCTGGGTGGGGTGCTGGACTTGATCCCCCTCCCTAGGGATAGTAACTCAGCCAGCTTTGAGCCAAGGAACTGACACTATCCACCGGAATCATATCCACTATTACTCTAGGGGACAGCTTGTATTTCCAGAACATGTCCCAGTTCTAGAATAAAGCATTTCATACCCACTGGCTCCAGGTTCTACTCCACAACCTCTTACTGAAGAGCCCAGAAGGGAGGAGGTTGGACCCTGTCACCAGCACTGGACTGGGGTTGAAGACAAGCCTCAGAGATATGAGGTGGCTTTCTAAACTCACCAGCCACTTCTCTGGCCCCCAGCACCGCATCTCTTCCACGGAGGTGTACTTTCAGTTTTAAGGCCAAAGAGGGGCTCTGTGCACCCCCTCCACTATGACAGAGAAACAAATGCCACCCAGCACCAACAGAAGCCACCACATACACATGCCTCCTTCAGAGCCACTCTGGCCACAGGCCTGGGGAGCCAGGTGCTAAGAGCATCAGGGTATCTGCCTCTTTAAGGGATGAAAGAGCCACACTAAATCTAGAATTGCAGCCTTGTAGATAGTACTGTACCGAGGACCGCAAGTGCCACAGGTGTGCTCTACAGTCACCCCCAATTTCTAGGGCCACAAAGAGGACGTGTGGGCAGAATGAAACTTTTAAACTTTAGTTTTAAACTTTATTTTTTACTTACAAAAACAGGCAGTCAGCCACAGGCCAGAGTTTAAAAGATTTCATTTTATTTTTTAGTATTCGGCCTGGTGACTGAGGTTTTTGGCACCCCTCCCTAAATTGTGCACCCAAAGTGAGTGCCTCACTGTCCCCCACCCTAATCGTAACCCTGTGTCTCTCCCTCCTTACGACCTTGAACTCTGATCTAATGAGAAGCCCTGGGGACAGGGTGGGAAGGAAACAATGGGCCACATGCCCTTTTCCTTGCTAGTGTTGTCCCCACCTGCTCACCTAGGGGTTAGTGACCTCGGAGGCCCGGCTGCCCAGGCCTGGGATTCTGGGTGAATGACATGTGACGGCAGGCCACTGAACATCACCTAACAGCCGTGCCCAGTACAACTTTTCAGACTCTCGGAGCACTGGCCCGCCACATCTACTGGAATAGACAAGACAGAGCCACACACCAGGAATACCTGGGCCAGACAAGGTAGTGACAGGCCGGGTAAAAAGAAGGGTACAGGAGAAATGACAATAATAATGGCTACTACGTGCTTTCAGCAGATTGTCTCATTCATCTTTCTCATCCATCCTAACAGGTAAGTGGTGCTATCCCCACTTATCAGATGAATAAACCATGACAAGGAGAGGTTGAGGAGTTTGCCCAGGGCCAGAATCAAATTCGGATCTCCCCAACACCGACGCTCTACCAATATATATCAGTTCTATCTGATCTAGAAACAATTCAGGAAAACCTGAGTGGCAGATGAAGAACCAGGTGAAGAAGATACGGTGTCTGGCTCCTTCACTTATCTGTGGCAAGTACTTAATTTTGCTGAGTCTCAATTCCCATCCTTCCCCCAAACTGTGTACTGATAAATAAATATGGTAAAACATTAACAACTATTGAATTGGGGTGTGGGCTATAGATGTTCACTGCACTATGACTTTTCTGTACTTTTAGAAATATTCATAATAAATTGGGGGCAAAAAACAAATGTCCTCAGGTCAAAACTGATATATGACCCCATCAGAAAAGTCCCTGGCATCAAAATAGCTGAATAAAAATAGCTACATCAAACAGCTGCACCAACCGTCTCATGGCATTGTGAGAATATAAATTGGTTCAGCCTTTTTGGAGGGTAACTTGCAACATCCATCAGACTTTTAAACAAGCCATATTTTTTTTAATTTTTTTAAATATCAATCACACAGGAAGGTTGCATGAGTGGAAGCCCCACAGATCTTTTACCCTGATTCACTAATTTTTAACATTTTGCCATATTCATTTTTTCATTCTCTCTTTCTACACATATTTGAAGCATAACAGGGGGTGCCTGGGTGTCTCAGTTGGTTAAGAGGCCAACTCTAGCTCAGGTCATGATCTCGCAGTTCGTGGGTTAGAGGCCCGCGTCGGGCTCTGTGCTGTCAGCTCGGAACCCGGAGCTGCTTCAGATTCTGTGTCTCCCTCGCTCTCTGCCCCTCTCCCACTCCTGCTCTGTCTGTCTCTCTCTCTCTCTCAAAATTAAATAAACATTAAAAAAAGTTTTTTAAAAGAAAAAAATAAAGTATAACAGAATATAACATATTTCATATACAGTACTGTGTTATATGTACCTTCATTATAGTATATACACACACATTGATTTACATTTGCTCATTTCTCTCCATGAACCCTCTGAGAGTAAGGTGTATATATCAAAAGACCAAGGACATTCCCTTATTTGCTCATAATACATTACCACATTTGAAACATTTAATATTGTTCTAATACTTTCATTTAATGAGACCCTCTCCCTTAATGTCAACTGTCCCAATACTGTCCTTAGAGCATCGTTTTCTTTAGTGCAGGATCTAGTAAAGGGTCATGTGTTACAGTCACTTGTCATGTCTCCTTAGTTTTGTTTTGCTTTTTAATGCTCCAACAAAATGTTCCAAAAAAAGGTTTGTTAAATTGTTTAAAAAGGCTGCTTCCCTGACAGAAATTTAGAGCCTGGGACTCTTGATCAAGGTAGATCTGAATTTGGTCACTATGAGGTGGGGCCTGGAGATACAGCATTCCCCACGAGCTCTCAGGTGAAGCCCACAGACCATGGTTCACAGACCACACAGAGCATGAAACCAAAGGAAGCAACTAGTGGAAATCTGGTGCAGAGCATTGCAAGAAGCATCTTGCTGTCCTCCAGGTGAACCATGTTGGCAATGTCAGCTGACCCTCGGGACTCAGCAGAAAACACTGATGCTGAGCCCTCCCTCACAGGAAAACCTCCCGGGCTTTCTGGAGCCAAGAGGTCCCACACAAAGGGGCATACACCACAGAAACAAACATCTCTGTCTATTCTCCACACCAGATGATTTCAGCTTTGGGCAGGGCAAGCCTGGAGAGAAGGGAGACTCATGCCCTGCCTCCTCTACCACTGTGAACACTTTTTCCTTTAAAAGTTACCCCTCCTTCAGGAAGCCACCCTGGTTACCCCAGCCTACTCCATCCTCTGACTTCCTACAACAGTGAGCGCCTGGCTGTACCACTGAGCACTCACCTGACTGTAACTGCTCTTCCAGGTACCTGCTTTTCCCTTGTAGGTACTTGCCTTTCCCCACCCATCACCAGGCCTCTGCTTCTGCTACTTCTCCCATGATATGCTCCCTATCACCCTCCAGCTCATATATTCGAGGCCCAGTTTACCATTAAGCTTCCCCTAGAAACAGGCCTTTCAATGCCAGTTCCTCATCAGAACCGTCCTTGGGTCTCTCCACCCAGCATCAGGTGCACCAGTCTTGTCTCCACAACTAGATCCTCAGGGTCTCCTCTGCTGTCCTTGCTTTTGTTTGACATGAGACTCTGGCTTTATACTTGGGGATCACCAGCATCAGCCTCTCCCTGAGTGACCTATGCAGTGTAACAGAGACCCAGTTCATCCATTCATCCCTCCATTCCTCCACATTTACCAAGTGCCTACTCTGTGCCAGGCTGTGGGCTGGATTCTGGGGGACCCTCAGGCAGCCCGCGCTGCCCACAGCTGGAAGTGATGCAGTACTGATGGCGGCCTTCCTCATGAGCACGAGAGGTACTTGTGAGAAGTGACGTGGCGCCCAGATGAGCATCC